AGAAAAAAGAACGCACGCTGGAGAGAAACCCTTTCAAGTGCAAATATTGTGAGAAGATATTCAACTCATCTGGTAACTTAACCAAACACATGATAACTCTGGATATAACTGTGTATTTAACTGTTACTTGATTTAAAAAGACGTTATCATGCACTGCTTTTTATGGTCTCCATTGTGTTAATAGATGCCAGGAAAACATCACTTACGGGGTTCAAATAAACACCCAAAAAAAATCGGCTCGCCGCTTCGCGGCTCGTGGACGATGCTCCGCATCGTCATTATTGGTCAACCCCCCCCCCCCCTGAGCAAAAAGCTAGATCCGCCCCTGAATGTATACACACACCAGAAGAAAAAAATGGCCACTGAGAAAGAGAATGTGGGAGAAGACGACAACGGTATCCATTAAAGGTAAAGACCAGTTATGGTCATGCGATTGCATTGTGAAAGAAACGTTGTGGAATCGATCAGAAAAGGTTGATCATCTAGCATCTAGCATCTGCAAGGTTCTGGAATCATCAAAATGATAAGAAATTTGGCCCATTCTTCGTAAAGTTACAAGCACTATACACAGAAAGATGTATATGGGACTACCCTATATCTCTCACAGACCATGAGAGAAACAAATTTACCAAATATATGAATTAGTACGCGGTTTCCCGGCAAATTTTTTATCATCATGTATTAGTCAAAACATATTCTTTCACATGATTGGTAATGAGAGCTTCCATTTCATTTTTTGAAATTGGGGCGTTTCCAATACTGGTCTTTACCTTTAAAGATGAATGATGCAAAGATATTGATGCAAAAAAAAGCAAAGAAAAGATGGTGCACAAAATATATTCAGGCTCATACAAATCACATAGATATAAACAAAAATTCGATAACGATATATTTATGTTGCTATACATTTTTATTGTCCAAATAGTTTTTTCAATATATATTGTAGAAATCCTTTCTTGTAATTTCTTAATTAATAACCTAAAACAACACAAATAACTTGTCTAAATGATATCAGGGAGATGTGACATTTAATATCATGAATCATGTAATAGAAAAGCATAGAAGTCAATTACAATATAATGAACAGGTTTTAACGTTTCATCAACCATTCATTGTATACAGTATATTAAAGGGGCCTACAATAAAGGAAAAGGATCATTCTGGATATACATAAGTTACCATATTCAAATTCAATAGCTATAAATCAAACATTGCCTTTAACTTGAAAGCGGGGGCAAAGGGAGTGAGAGAAAGACAACTGATTTATTATCTTAAAAGAATTGTACAAAGGATCGAGTGGGAGACCAATACTAGAAATACCAGAAATCAATTACGTATAGAAAATGGAGATAATTGAAACAGACATAATATAATTTATCAAGGGCGTGGTTAGAAGGCAAAGTCTTAATTTACAGTCCTATAATTCAATAATGCAAAATCGTCTTGAAAGTGGGTGAAGACTCGAGTCAAAACTCATTCTCTCGGGGTAGAAGGGGAATCCCCTCCCACACCCACCCCATTGTTCATTCTGAGAGCATTATGTTGTTTGTGCTTTAGGGATAAAATTCCCCTCGGGTTGAAACGGACCCCCTTCCCCCTTCCCCCTCTCCTCCCCACCATTTACAGAATTCGTGTATTATCTACTTACGACTTTGAAATTTTAAATTTTAAACTCTAAAATGTGTTCCTCATCAGCCACTTTGGGGATTCCCCCCCCCCTCCCCCCCCCCCCCCCCACTTGCGTGTGCAGGGTCTAAAGATTGGAAACGCCCTTTAGCAACCACCCCGGTTTATGGCTGTGCGGTCGCACTTCTCGCATGCACGGTCATTTATCTTTAGATCTGCGAGCCTCTAGATTTCATCATTCTACCAGAGCCGTAATTAATGAGCTAAAAAAAAGGAGGGGCCGAATGAGTAATGACTCCGGTATCAATCCATTAGATGGAGGAGGGGGGGGGGGGGTGAACCCCGCCCATTCTTACATAATGATTTCGCTTAACAGGAACGCCATCATTAAATTGTTTATTTTTAAGGTGGGCCGGACTTTGCATTGATCACACGGGCAAATCAAAGTCTGCGCGGGATTATCATCCACCTCTTTTCTTTCAGCAGGGTTAGATTATCACTTATATTATAATAATAACGTTACATTTATAAAGTGCCTTTTCATTAGATATAATTAAAGCGCATAAAAAAAAATACTTTTAAACAAACAAATAAAGGGAACATTATCATACAAAGCTTACATTAATTACAAACAGACAGGAATATTAAAACAAATTTGAAAAGATGTGTTTTCAGACACCTCCTGAAAACTGTGAGAGTATGGCAATTTTTTTAGTACAGGGGATAAGGAGTTTCAGGTTTTGGGGGCAATAATTGAAAAAGCACTATCCCCCAGGGTGGCGATCACTGGGGGACGTGGGGACACGCCCCCCTCAATTTTGTTAGGTGGGATCGTCGTCCCCCCAGGAAAATTTGAAAAAGTGCACCCCCCCCCCCCGAAAAAAAAAAAAAAATGTATAGCAAATACTTACTAAAGACTACAAAATACTTTTAGTCTCTGAAGGGCCCAAGAATGCAGCATTCAGACCAGTGGCGTACGCAGGATTTTTTCAAGGGGGGGTTTTAAAATCGGGTCCCAAATTTCGCAACGACTCAGGAAAATTTGAAAATCGCGCGCCGGCCAAAAAGTCGCTCAGTGGGGGGGGGGGGGGGGGGGGGGGGGGGGGGGGGGGGGGGGGGGGGTAAGCGGACACTTTTTTTTTTTTTTGTTCTCAAAAAAATCGCAACGACTCATCCGACCGCTGAATAAGCGGGGGGGGGGTAAGGTCACCTTTCTTAGGTCAGCCATGGGGGTAATTTTTTTTTTTTTTTTTTTTTTTTTTAATAATTAAAAAAAAAAAAAAAAAAAAAAAAAAATCCAAAGGGGGGGGGGGGGGGGGGGGGGTTTAGGGATTTTTAAGGGGGGTTTACACACATAAAAATACCAAAGGGGGGGGGGGTTAACCCCCCAAACACCCCCCCCCTGCGTACGCGCCTGATTCAGACTATACAAATGCAAAAATCTTCTCGCTCCCTCACATAGGCTAATATCCTTCCAAATGTACAAGTAAATATCGCATTTCGCCCCCCCCCCCCCCGGTCATGAAAAGAAATCGCCGCCCCTGCTATCACATATCTGTTTACTGGTTCGATGATCGGTAAGTGTATTACTACTCGCTAATCGTGCATTATATACTTGCTGATAATTTTTGCGACTTTCAACTTTGAGGGTAACCACCCCTCTGTGATGATATAACTGGTATGTCTTACAGATATTCTTTATTTTAAAGTATATTATGCGAGGAACAGAGCGCCCGAGCAGGAAGATACCTCAGAATCTGAATGGTGTATTGTACAGCCTAACCTTAATTCAATCATAAGTTTACCATACATCTTTCCCTTCTTATTTGTGGGTTGGGGCGACACCAACAATGTAGAAGAATGGAGAAAAAGAAGAAGAAGAAAGAAAAAAGAAGAAGAAGAAGAAGAAGAAAGGGAAAAAAAGGGTGAAGTAAAACAAAGATAGGAGGATGAGGAGAAGATGAAAAGAAGAAGACATACCTTTGTAGGGAACACTCTTGCTCCGACCGTGGCTCCTCCAGCTTTCACATCACCCATCTTACCAAAAAGTAAAAACTTGTGTTTTTTCTACTAAATAATAATCTGTAAATTTTCGGTACGAAATTGTTTTGATCATTTCCCCCCGGCATTGTTCCCCTTTGTTGTGCGTGACGGCCCGTCATCAATATTGAGATGGAATTATTTCTGGAACAATCTACAGAAAAGTTGTCTTTTATTTAATAACTTTCTGTTGGAAATGAAATAAATACGAATTGAATATAATTATAGTGTTCAAATGTTTATAATGTACATTTGATAAGTCATAGTTTTACAGAAGGCATGATACTTTCATGGATCCATACGTGGAATTCAATTTCACATATCAAAATACTTTGGTCACCATTCACGATACCGAGATTCAAGTTGTGTTGTTCATAATAATACAGAAATTTGTTTACCATTCGTGTTAGATACAATATATAAACATGCTATTGTCTGATAGTGGAAGCCCGAAGGGTGTTAACTTAGTGTTTAACAAGAATGAGTCACTTTCATTCCAACTGTCAGCAGACGGTGTATAACAAGAAAAAGAATGACGAGAATTATGCGTCATATCATAAGCATTCATACGTTCTGGTGTCTAATCGCTTATTGTGATACATGTTCAATATTGACGTCTTTCTCCCGAGGGTAATACACATACATTTTCTGGGAAAACAACCTAAAGGTCCTAAATGGATTTTGCCTTTTTCTTCCTTTTCCCTTTTAGCTTATTGTCCTCTTTCATTGGTTCAATATCTTACTTATACCACCATAACACAAACAAACTTTGCTCAATATAGATTTTAAAATAGGAACCTATAGTAAAGAGAATGGAATTCATAAAATACTTGTTAAATTGTTTTTTGTTTTGTTTTATATATGATATATAATAAATATAATTTCTTCCTATTACGTCCTCATTTTTATCTTTATGGTGCCTATTCTGGCTGGCTTAGAAGTTAGAGGGCTTATCACCTTTGGCTCCGGTATATTATAGTAAAGAGAATGGAATTCATAAAATACTTGTTAAATTGTTTTTTGTTTTGTTTTATATATGATATACAATAAATATAATTTCTTCCTATTACGTCCTCATTTTTTTCTTTATGGTGCCTATTCTGGCTGGCTTAGAAGTTAGAGGGCTTATCACCTTTGGCTCCGGTATATCTGTTTCACTCCCCCAATCAGAAAATTGAAACTAGTCCATGATCAGAAAATAGCCAGCGAGGGAAATGAATGAGGAAGTGTCAGGCAAGAGTGAAAAAGTCATAAGTGCGGTGCGAGTGTGCGAGCTGTCACGAAAAATATAACGCTAGAGAATATTGGTTGACACGCGCGCGCACTTAATTTGACCGTGCGCTGTCTGTCGAAGTCGCGTCTGTCGCGTCGATGTCCGCCTGCCCTATATACAGTTTGCAATGCATTGTACGCATATGTGTTTAAGACTACACAAAACTTCACAACACACGGAAAGACGCAGATGGGACTGCCCTGGAATAAAACACGAATTTTTAATGTAGATGTCACTTTTTTGCAGCTTCCCGGATTTTATCAGAGATGACAATGTATTCGACACTATTATCGACCTGGCAAGCAAATTTCAATCCGTTATGAGGATGACAGTATTTGGAATAAAGCCACATATTTGTAAAAAACTGACTGGGAATTAATCCGAATTTCGAGTTGTTCGTCAACACTGCCAATAGCCAATACTGGAGGAAGTTAATGTGGATTAGAACCCTGTGCATTATTGAGCTACATCGCGTCGATAGGAGCAGACGCTAGACGGTCGACGACGGCGAGCTGCATTGCAGCTGGACCGAGCCTTCGCCTTGCCTGGAAATGGCAGGGAATAAGATCAAATCCATTGTCAGCAAAAACAAAATAAGGCTACGAGATGGAAATTTTGATCTTGATCTCACATGTATCCTTTTGACAGACTAAAATTTAATTAAATAATGATGATTGGTGATAATCTCACTATGATTGTGTGGACAGAAAATGTTCAAGATTTGTTCTCTTCGTTCGTTAGCCTCTGAGTCTTATTTGGGTAGGGTCGGCAAAGAGAGGAGCCGACCCTACATCATGTAGGCTTGCTAACGAACGAAAGAGACAGAATTTTTGGTCTATTGTCATGACTTACAAATCGAATATCAATCACTGTACATTTCACTTGAAATTGACAAGAATTTTCTATCGTATGTTCCTAATGCTTAATTTTTTCTTAATCCTTATTTATAGACTATTCTAAAGAGTAAGTGTGTTGAAAGTCTCATCAAATTAGAACAGAGTCCTTTTCACGACGCAAGAAAAGGTGGTGGTTTCATTTTAATATCCCCCAAAACAAGTCGAAGGCTCCCATGTCTGCAGACCCTACACAGTGTACACCTTGGGATTTTTATATGAAAGATGTCAAGGCTTAGGAATGAAAAAAACTTAGATTACAGGATCTACTTTCTCATCAGTCATCAGTTTATACTTCTTTTTTGCATGAATACACATCACTAAAAATGTGGAGATGTTTTGTTAGTTGTGTGTTTTGTTTTGTAAGAATTGCACAGTTAGAGTACACGTGCAGACTAGGGTGCTGTGCAGATATGGGCATTCTTAGAAAAGTGATAACAAATTTATGTCAATATATGTCCTCTAAAAAGAAAGACCCTCCTGAGTAATACATTTTGACAAATTGACAGTTTATTCATTTTGTTTGTTGAAACAAATGAGAAAGTTGTCCACCTTAAGTCCTTAACATGTTGTATGTCACATTACTGTGACATTGCCGATTCAGCCAATCGTAGGTTCATACGGTATACCGATTACGGTATACTTTTTAAAAAATCACAACTTTCTTCTTTTCTGTCAGATTTCATTTAAACTTTCACTAGTTTGCCACTGATTTTTCTGCTCTCTTTTACAGTAGAAACCTATTAAAGTGGAAGTCCACCCTGATATTAAGTTGGTTTTAACAGAAGAAGGAAAATGAGGAACAGGTCAGTGAAAGTTTGAGTAAATTCCAAATAAAAATTAGAATGTTAAGAATTTTAAACATTTTTAATCAAATCTAAATTGACATATCATGCCAGTTCGCTTCTTATTTGCTCTGTACTAAAAATTTAAAATCTGAAATTTTATTATCCCCCAAGAAGATTTTCTATCAAACTTGTACAATGTATGAAAATAAAATCTATTATGTCATCATTCATACAAAATTTTATGAAACTTTATGTACAGTACAAAGCAAATTGGAGATTACCTTGCAAGACACGTCACAGTGTTGCCAATCAGTGTTTAATTGATTGCAACTTCAAATATTCTAACTTTTTAATTGGAATTTGATCAGATTTTGCTCAAATTTTCAATGACCTGTTCCTCTCATTTTTCTGCTACTATTACTGAATATCAGGGTGGACTTCCTCTTTAAGGCTGGATTTTCCTTTATTAGTAACCTACATGTAAATACACTACACTCATAATTCTAATTTCATTGATTTTTGATGAATTTGATTACCCATACATGTTCAAGGCTAGCTGAGATAACCTTGTACATGTACTCACACGTCTCACAGTAGATCTCACAAAGAGCTATTCTTCAGTAACTTTAAGTTACTGAAGAATAGCTCTTTGTTTACGTACGACAATAACTGATGGGTGCAGGAGGTCGGTTGGTTTGATGGTTTGTTTAATACCTGACTGTTCAGAAAGCTTGTGCATGCATGCTTGCACATGTGAATAAGCAAACGGGACCGACGGCTTTACGTCCTGTCTGAGGGACTTGGTATAATGCCTAACTAAAGTGCACTAGCAAAGATATACAAATGTTCTTGGTTTCGAACCAGTGTCACTCCTGTAGTGGAACCACTGCTCTACCACTGATCCCTCTTGCTAGATGATGTGTATTTTATCTAAGATTGCACATGATAAGCAAACATGGGACCGACGGCTTTAAGTCCTGTCTGAGGGACTTGGTATAATGCCTTACTAAAGTGCACTAGCAAATATGTTCTTGGTTTCGAACCAGTGTCACTCCTGTAATGGAACCACTGCTCTACCACTGATCCCTCTTGCTCGGTGATGTGTATTTTATCTAAGATACACTGTAGGTTGAGGGTACACGCACAAAATGTAGGTCATACTCGAGAAAGGAGAAACAAAGCACTTAACTACTTCCTGTCTGTCTCCGAAGCCCCAGATTTATGGCAGAGGGACTTTTGAAAAGCCTTTGAATCACACCATCTTTTGAATGTTAGAACCATAAATTGAATCTTGTTGAATGATTTTGGTGTTTCTTTTACATGTACCTGTAAACATGTACAATGTAAGTAAGTGTAATTGCAGTGGTTAATGTTTTCCATATCCCCAAATAGCCTGAAAACTTTATCATTGATTACAATTATGAAGAGACTATGGCCAATATCACTGCTGCGCTAGTAAAAGGGAAACATCACAATCATTGTAAATACATTGTAAAGTACATGTAGGATTGAATTTATGCACATTTTTAATGTGCATTGCTACTTATGATTTCATCTAAACAATCACCCTAGCTGAGCTATACTGTACATGTACATGTACATCATCTTCTTTTGTTTGGGGGGGGGGGGGGTGTGGGCGGGGCGAGGGGGGTACCTGTTGGGCTACTAAATAAATCACATTTCATTTAGTTGCCTAATGAGTACTTTTTTGAGGGGGGGGGGGTGGATGAGCTTCTACATGTACAGTATGTCTATCATTTCTTCATTTGGTTGCCTAATATAGAAAGTATGCTGAAATTAGTTGTCTATGGCACAAGGATGGTATATGATATTCACTCTGGTGGCATATTTTCCAGGTTGATAAAATACATCATGGGCAGCTTGGCAAACCTCACTATCTTGTCATCAGGCCTTCATGTGGCTGTGAGATACCTCTGCACCGTCCGATGTCACTGTGCGAAATCACTACTAAGAATTTTGTGGTACGTTCAAACGCTATGAAAAATATTAAAAATGATGTGAAAACAGCATGGCAATATTAATAATATTGCAGTCAATTGACCACTCATCTTTCTTTGTATTTATTACTGTTTGTCATCCACTTCACCGCTCAAATATAAAATTCCCCAGTGGCATTTACATAGTAAATGCAGAAGTTAAATTGTTGGTTAACAAGGAATATGAATTTCTTCATAGGGTCATGAGTGAGAGTTCGCGAACTGACTGGCTTGGACGGTGTGCAGGAGTCTCACAGACACGGGGAAGCATGACCACACCGTAGGGAGGTCTGCTCAAGCTGGTAGAAAAAGGGCTGGTGCGTGTTTTTGTTTTAATAGTATGTCGAGGCTAAGGGTACCGTAACCGTAAGGGTTACAGAACTTAAACTTGTTGGTTACAGCATGGACCTACAGTACATACATGTATACAGTCCATGGTTACAGGCTTGACATCAGGTCACTCATGGGACTTGTAGTGGTGAATAATGTGTCATGTACACCCCTGTATTCAAGTGGGAGGGGGGGGGGTGGGGGGGGGGGGGAGGAGAAGGAAAGTCATGGGAAGATAGTATGTAAATGTACATGTACATGTACGTAAATGTACATATCTACTCATCAAGTAATGTTGTCTGCAAGATACGAGTGTAACATAAATCCTGCATATTCATGACAAGTATTCCAGCCCTGAAAAATATCAAAGGTTGTCTTGAATTATTTTTAGATGGCAAAGTCTGTAATTGGTTGTAGGCCAACATGTACATTTGAGCCTTTTTACCAACATTACCTGTAGATGAAATTGTCAGTGTTTTGTGGGCAAAGTAATGATGCTGAGCGCCAAAGTGAAGTGATTCAGTCATGAAGCACATGTAATACTCTTTAATTTTGAATTAGATTATCCGAATTTTTATGTGTACAATTCATGTACATGTATCTCTACTAGAATTGCATCTACGATTATAAAGTACATTGTACATGTACCTTTTCTAATCTGAATATTATATTTAATGTCGTATAATGAAACGCATGTTCGGACATGTTTATTTTTTTAGTCTGTAACCTCCTTTTGCTGTGTGATGATTCTTTATATACGACATTTATTTATACAACTTTCATATAAATTCCCCAAAGTCTGAGCAGTCTAATAGATTTTATTTACTTATATTGAAATGTGAGAAGATATAAACATGTACTGTACATTGCAATACCTCTGTCGCACTATGCAAAGTGAACAATTTGGGGTCATTATATGGATTTTCAACAGTTGAATATGGAATTTAAATGAGTTTAAAAAAATTAATGAATAAACTGAAGGAGAATCAATTTGATAATGATAAATGATTTTTTTTTTCTTCTGTTTTGGGCATAACAAATGTAGGCAATCAGATTCCAAACAAGATGTTGAGTTAAACCGTGGTTAACTTTGAATTACTAAAAAAAAAATAAGCAAGGTTTACTGCCAACAGGGTAAATATTTTTCGGATCAACATGTACATATATGTACAGTGTATGTACAATGTACCTTTGAAAACACATGCACTCTGAATCAAGGTGACAGATTTTGGGCTTCGGGTTAAAATACCGGTAGGCATGATTAATGATCAATCCACAAATTGAGGAAAATTAGCAGAGAAGTACATACACATGTACTTGTGTCTTATCCATACACATTTTACATGGCTCATCTCAGAACAGAAGTACAGATATCTATCACAGGCAGGCGATGACAGTTACTACGTCCCCACAAAGTTTGGCAATTGTGTACCAGGAAATAAGGAAGTGAAACAAAAGGTCCATCTATCTAGTATATTCTGCGGCTTGCTTTCAATAGTATGCATGTGCCTCATAATTTGATGTCGGTCTACTAATTGTATATGGATTTGGATGTGGTGTTGCGAAAGACTTTTTCACCATGGAAAATCACGTGTGAGAATAGGGAAACTTCTCTTGATGTGTAA